TGCTGCTGTCCTGCGTAGTTTGCTCCCTTAGTCGGCTCTTACGACACCCACGGGATGAATAGGGGTGATGACACTCTGTATTCTTAATCCGTCACCACACGAACTTAGTAAATATAACTAGGGATAAAAAGTATCTCACCCCCTCTCAAAATTAATAAACTTTTTGTAAAGACGACCTCTGCGACCTCTGCCTTGGCGGTATGTTGTAACCTCAGAGGTTGCTGATTCCATTCCCGTTCAGTGAAAATATTCTATGAGACAGACATACTCCATGTCTGTCTGTCAGTGTTTTTGTGTAGGTATAATATGTATATATTTATAGAAAAAAGTATATACGTATGTTTATCTGTTTTAGAATGACCATAATACCAGCTGTGCTCAATTAAGGTTCAAACGAACAGGTGTGTTATCTGATGGTAAGCGCCTACCGCCGCCATAAGTCATAAGTAGGTTCCCGTTCTTTGATCCCAGAAGTAGGCCAAGGGCGAGGATCGGGTAGCTTATCACCGGAGCCGACCCGTTTATGACCAGATAAGGCTCTCGCATGGCTATCTTATTATTAACTAGCTATTTATTATTAGCGTGATTTCGTTCGCGGGGAATTTGATAAGCGCTGCCTTAGTGGGTTTGATTCCCCGGACCGCACAAATTTTTATTGGTTTTCTGAGAAAAAAATAGCCTAAGTCACTCCTTATATAGACAGCTACCTGGTAGTAAAATATTATCAAAATCGGACCAGCCGTTTTGAAGACTATTCAGAACAAACAGACAGACAGAATTTTTTTAACTGTTTTTTAGGCATAGGTATCGTTCAAATAACCGTGTGAGCATGAAACAAACCTACCATTTCGACATTAGAAACAGACACTTCAATTTCATTTATTTTATTTTTATTTTATCTAATAGGTACAGTAACAGATAACAGATTAGCACATACACAATTATGTTGACAATATACAATACTTAAATCTGAAGTCCAGTTATAACTGTACACAACGTTCTATTACAAAGTTTATATGAGTATGTTAACAGACTAAAGAATTCACGTAATAAACTTAAGCTCCATTATTATTACAAAATAATTGGTTTGTATAGGTTGATATTATTCTCTTGATACACCAATTTTTAAAGGGTGGTAATTATTTACGTTGTTAGGAATATAATATAGCAAAACAGAAATGGTATCTTATTTATAGAAAAGATGATCGAATGGAGTGAAAAACTAATTAAATCCAAGCAAACTATCGTCCGTGTGATGACGGATTAAGAATACGAAGTGCCACCACCCCTATCCATCCCGTGGGTGTCGTAAGAGGCGACTAAGGGAGCTGACGTAGGACAACCAGCACGGCAAAGAGAAGGAAAACTTGTAACAAACCCTATACCAACCCGTCTGGCCAGCGTGGTATAGTAGGCCAAAACCTCCTTTCTAAGGAGAGGCCTATGTCCAGCAGTGGACTATTAAAGGCTGTTGATGTGATGATGTGATGAAGCACAACTACGGGCAAAAACTTGTATATATAAAATAAATATCCCTTAATTATATGGTTACGCCATTTTCTTGGCTCACGCATCAGATGATCTTGTTCGTAATTAAAATTGCACTAAATTGGCACATGAACCTATTTATAAACAACATTTCTTTCAACATTAAGGTGGCAAATAAGCATGTAAGTAGTTAAATAGTAAGCTGTTTATTAAAGACACTTGTCAAACTATCAGCGGTCCCTATCAAGGAGGATAGCGACCTTTCGCGTCATACCTTGAAAAAGAGTTCATGAAAAGCCTGAAAGTATTCGGGGTCTCTCGAAACATAGGGAATAAATAATAACAAAATATTGCTCATGGAATTCCATCCCGGTGCAGATAGTTAGAAAGTTCGGAGACCATGGGTTTTATTCCCATTCAGGACGAATAGTTTAGTTATAAGCACGATTATTTATTCCATAACTATGTTCAATTTGTCTATAATATCTATATATTGTCCGTGTGGTGACGGATTAAGAATACAGAGTGTCACCACCTCTATTCATCCCATGGGTGTTGTAAGAGCCGACTAAGGGAGCAAACTCCGCAGGACAACAACACTGCAAAGAGAAGGATAACTTGACACAAACCCTATACCAACACGTTTGGGCAGCGTGGTATAGTAGGCCAAAACCTCCTTTCTAAAGAGTGGCCTATGTCCTGCAGTGGACTATTAAAGGCTGTTGATGTATGTATTTAGCAATATATAAGTATGTTTATCAGCAGCCCGAAAAACTATATATTACTGGTTCTGTTTAGTTTGGGATCAGACGGCCGTGTGTGAGTTCTTACAAGTTATTACTATGTTATTGTGGATATATCTTCATCAGCATCAAACATCAATATCGTTTATTAGTAGACTACAGGCCTTTCTTTAGTAGGTTTTGGCCTTCAAACCTTCAAGAAAAGAGCGTACTCCTTCCATCAGGTGACCCGTCTGCTTGTCTGCCCCCTCTAACATAAAAAAAAATACTATAACACTCTGGCCAGACGGGCTGGTATACGGTTTGTGTCAAGTTTTCCTTCTCTTTGCTGTGCTGGTGACGGATTAAGAATAGTGATTGTGACTACCCCTATTTATACCGTGGGCGTCGTAAAAGCCGATTAAGTGGATTTTCAAGAACCTAAAAATATTGCTGATTGAAAATCAACCATCTTCTAACACCACATAACATTGACCTTGCCCTGAACATCTATTTAAACATCAGTACATCTGGCAACACACAAACAGTGTCTGTTAATATTTAGCGTGTTTTTATACCATTAAGTAGTTAAACAAGCATCCAGCGATAGTGGGCGATACACGTAGTTTATGCGCTATTAATTATACTATTAAATTATTGTAAGCGCTGGTAGTGTTGAGACTAAGGTTCTCGGACTTTTTTTTATGTTAGAGGGGGCAGACGAGCAGAGTGGTCACCTGATGGAAAGAGACCATCGCCGCCCATGAACGTCTGCAACTCAGGAGTCACAAACGCTTTGCCGGCCTTTTAGGAAGGAGTACGCTCTTTTCTTGAAGCTCGTATCGGTCCGGATTGCTCAAGTTGCTGCAGGTTATAACCCTGTTCAATACACTACCAACGTGAATTCTCTCCTGACACAATAGTATAGGCTAAGAATGTTCAGATTTGAAAAAAAACTGCTGATTTTAAAGGAATAATTCAGCTAAAAGTATGGTTCGTGGCAAGTTATTGAAAAAAATCGAACAGCTGCAAAAAACCGGTTCATCACGAAAAAACAGAGTTTTTTTATGGAAAAACAAAACAGAAGGTTGTAATGTGAGAAAAAACAAAGAAAATAAAACTAGCTAAAGTTAAATTCGTTAGAAACTTAACGAGAAAACATCAACGAAAAAACAAGAGAGTTTTTTTTATATGTAGGTATCTTAACAATAGCACTGCAAAAAGAAGGAAAACTTGAAACAAACCCTATACCTATATATACCTATATATACCTATACCCTAAACCTCCATTCTATGGAGAGGCTTATGTCCTGCAGTGGACTATTAAAGGCTGTTGATGTGTGATGATCTTGACTTGACTTTAACTATTTAGTGGTTCTTAAGAGTATATTAGTTATATCATGGGAAAGTCGTGCTTTAGCACAAATTAGCCAGCTCGACCGGAGTGATACCACGGAGTCACAGAAAACCGGTGTTAATCAATTCTTTTGTTGCTTCACCGAGTGAGTGAGGCTACCGGAAGATCACTACCCCCGTCTAATTCTGGGGGGGAGGACGTACTTGTTTCTCTTTAGCTGCAGGTGCCCACTGCTGCAGGTAGGCACTTTCCATCAGGTGCCCCTTCTGTTCGTTTGCCGTCTAATACATAGAACAAGTTAGATGTACCCCTTTACGATCAGAAGTCGGTTTAAGTGCCATACAGTTAAAAATAATCCAATGGCGCAGTGGTTAAAGTTATCGTTGTCACTACGCCGCTCCTAGTATTGAGGGTTCAGTTCCCAAAATGTATATCCTGAGTCCAGGTTTTTTTTTTAAAAGACAACTCCCGCATTAGGAATGTGCTTGCATACATGAAACGGACACAAAGAACACCCAGACTCAGAACAACAATTTTTGGATCACACAAAGTGTTGTTCCATGCAGGGATCGAACCCACAACACTCAGCTCAATAGGAAGCGTCGAGGTGACCGCTTAAACCACTACGCCATACGTGCAGTCAAGTTTATTTGCACTAGATGTTTTCATGTTCGAAACATTTCCGCAAAACAGGAATTATTCCCAGTGGAGGAATTATAATGAAAAAGGAAGGTTGCTGGTAACCGCTGACCCCGGGGGTCCCAAATACGACTATAAATAATAAAGAAGTACATCGCTGCCTACCTCTTTGGATTAACAATACAAAAGTAATTACAGTTTTTATTATCTAAATACGAAAAAATAAAATTGAAGTGTCTGTTGTAATGTCAAAATTATAGGTTATTTTTCTGTTTTTTTCATGCTCACACGGTTATTTGTACGATACCTATGCCTAAAACCAAGTTTTTTTGTCTGTCTGTCTGTTTGTTCCGGGTAATCTTCTAAACGGCTGGACCGATTTCGATAATATTTTACTAGCAGGTAGCTGTCTACATAAGGAATAACTTTGACTAGTTTTCCTCAAAAAAAAACCCTTTAAATTTTTGCCCGGTCCGGGCATCCAACTCACTAAGTTAGCGCCGGGTACCAGCTAGTTAACTACTTAATCATATGGTACCATGTTGGCTATCTTATATACTTATACATAAAACAACAAATAAAATAAAATCATTGACAGCATATTATGACCTTGTGACGGCTGAACCGATTTGGGTAAATACTTGTTTAACTATACCCGTAATAGTTCGAATAAATGTTAAAAGGAAATATTAAGAACGTTGATAAATTGAGAAATATGGCAAATTTAAGTTTTATACTGTTTCTGGTAAAACAAATACAAAAAAGCAATAATAAAAACATATAAAAAAACTTACTGATTATCCAAATGCTTCTGACTTTCCGGTTCATCAACGATCGGCTCGCATATGATCTCTTCAATTATCTCCTCTATAATCTCCTCTTCTGTCTCACTCTCATCACACTCACTGCCTTCACTCTCATCACTGTCCTCCACCGTCCTCTCAACCTCACTCCTATCACCTATCTCAATAAAACCACTATCACTATTATCACTCGAAAGCCTTACTAAATCATCAGGACTTTCCACTTTAATCGTTATAGGTTCTGTTTTCTCGTTCAAGTTGATAACTGTTTTATTATCCTCGAATAATATATCGTCAGCGTCTTCGAGATACTCTTCATCTTCCGAGCTTAGAGACTCGAAAGAGGAGCACACTTCTTCATCAGTCTGTTGTTCTCCATCATCGAAGACTATATGCTTTCTAAAAGTCACTCTTTTCTTGCCACTATCAGACCTATCATCGTCTGAACACCCCTCAGTGTCTGATCTAGGAGGTTTTAAGTTAGATTTTTTTGAAATGCCAGGAGAGTCTCCGTCAACTGACTTTAAAGAATCACTTTTAGAGTCTTTGTCTAATAATTTATTTAATTCACTGTTTAATTCGTTTCTGTATGCAGCACGGCGTTCATCAATAGTTTCGTACATAGGTTCACTCTTATTAAGTTTGCTATCGTTGGCACCCATTTGTTTCCCCTCATTTAACTGGTCTACTGTGCTGTCTATAGTTCGCGCGATCTCACGGAGTAATGCTTCTGCATGTTTTTTTTCATCTATATCAGGTTCGTTCACGTACACCAAAGACACGTGTTGCTTATTATTATCGTTGCCTTTCGAATATTTCTGCAGTACCAGCGCTTTGACGAAGTCTGCATCGTCTGGTATATTTTTGGCTTGTGTGGGAACGATGACGTCAGGCACTATACGTTCAGAGTTGCTCCTCTGCACTACGTTCGTCTCTTTCAAGGGGCTCACTCGGCACGATTCGGTCCGTGCGTTCTTCCGTTTACCCTTTTTCCGTTTACCCGCCATTATTTGCAAGATGGCTCCTACTCCTGACTTCTGGTTGTTGTAATCGGTTTCGGGTAATAATAAGTTCACTACATCTTTACGTATAGAGTTGAATTTTTCGTTTGGTTCTGTGTCGTTTCGTTGCGCGCGCGCGGAGACTGATGTTAATTTTGTATGTTCGGGGTTCGGGAGCTTTCGGATGTTGTCGGGCGTTCCCGGCTCGGCCTCGGGTTTCCCGCCTTTCCTTTTGAAGAAATTAAACATGGCGCCCGGCTGTCATGACCGGCTGGCGCGACGCGATCTCGCCGACTGTTTGCGGCGGTATAACTTTTCCTACGATACAAATATTTTTATAATTCGTTGATTTATTGCTGTCTGTGGTTTATTTTTATTGGGTTGTTATTTGAATAAGCAATATTATGAAGATTTAGGAATAATCAATAAATGTTGGTCAGTTATGGTGAATATGATTTATACATTGTGGAGACTATAGTGTTTCATTGTCAGGGTTACAAGTGTTTATATGAAAATCCAGGTACTATGTCTTTAAACCTATAAATTATAACCTAGTTATAATGCAGTCTAAGATACTCTCATGATAACACAAACATATAATGTTAACAGACAATTAAGGATTACTTAATTATTTTTTCACAACTCTATACAAAATATTCACAATAAATCCAACTAAACTCAACTTATTTCAAAACAGTTACTGATCTTTCTTCTGCACAGATTTTCTTCAATTGCAGATCAATTATAGATCAAGACATATTTCAAACAATAAAACGATAATCAAAATCAGTCCAATCATTTAGTAGCTATGATCTCACAAACCGGTTAAAAACTTCATTCATTCACTCGTTCTTTTACCCCCTTATGTGAAGTAGCGAAAATACTATTTAAATTGTACAAAATTAATGTTTTGACTGCACGGACCGATGGCGCAGTGGATTAACCACCTGGTCGCTTCCTACTGCGCTGAGTATTGTGGATTCGATCCCCACAATGCACACCACTTTGTGTGGTAAACAAATAGTTATTTAAGGTCTGGGTGTTATTTGTGTCCTTTTCATGAATGTTTGTAAGTCCCCCGCGACACAGGATATATTACTTCTTCGTCTTTTTTTAAAGAAAACAAAAAAAATAATGTTTTATGTTATTTAGAGACATTCATAGAACTGAAACATGTACAGATATCCGCTGAAATATTGTGCTTTTATTTTCTAACGAGTAAGCTCTAGAAATGCTAAAATAAAATCTAATGGTTAAATGGTCATTGAACTTGTATTTTAGATCGAAGAACTGCCTTTGTTTGATACCCATTTTATTTAGAACTCGCGACCCGCCCGGGCTTCACATCACACATCACATCATCAGCCTTTAATAGTCCACTGCTGGACATAGGCCTCTCCTTAGAAAGGAGGTTTTGGCCTACTACACCACGCTGGCCAGACGGGTTGGTATAGGGTTTGTGTCAAGTTTTCCTTCTTTTTGCAGTGCTGGTGACCTGCGTTGTTTTGCGCCCTTAGTCGGCTCTTACGACACCCACGGGATGAATTGGGGTAGTGACATTCCGTATTCTTAATCCGTCACTACACGGACTGCCCGGCCGCCCGGGCTTCGCACGGCTGCAATGTAGATACTAATGTTCTTTGAGTATAGTATGCATGTATAATATGCACTCTCTTTGTAGTTTTTATATGTTAGTTGTATTTAAGAGTAAACTACGTAAATTTCTAGTAGATAAAACTTACTTCAGCGTAACAGAATTTTTATCGGAATTTTTTTTTACTTAAGTGCTATGATTATGGATATATTATCTGGATGTCTAGTGTGGAGTTTGTAGTGTATGTTTACTATTGTGTCCATTAAATTTATAAAGTACATTAAGCCACAATTAAAAAAGCTCCTCATTAAAAAATGATATTATAATGTATTGAACTTTATCTCAAACAATTGTAGTGTTTTTATTTTAATTTTTTGTAATTATTGTTTTTTCTTCCTGACATTAATTTATTATTTTGACTATAGTTTGACTTTACATGTTGACATTGTATGTATCACAATCTTATTATAGTAATCAATGATGCTAATAATATGCCTATAGGTTATTTTAAGTTATGTTTAAATTATATGCAATTATAAATGTACAAATTGAAAATTTGCACACCCATAGTGGTAAAGCACAGTGAACCTGTTGTGAATGAATACCATGTAATTAATACCTGTGTTATGCAAATAAACAATCTAAATCTGAATCTTTAGGTGAAAACCGCATTAAAATCCATTGAGTAGTTTTAAAAATCAAAACGTACAAGAACGGGAATCGACTTCATTTTGTACTACATAATGTAATAATTTTTACAATGATGGAATTAAGTCGTTTTGCGTTCTTGTACGTTTAGATTTTTAAAACTAAGTAATGGATTCTTACAAGAGGAAGAGGTGCACAAAGCTCACATTTTCTTACAAAATGTGTAAAAACCGGGACATAATGCTGTAGGGATATAGTACAAATATTTACCTGTCATTATACAATGTATATAATGACAGCTCAAGTTATACTGGCCACATCACTTTATCACTGCCGGACATAGGCCTCTAATTAGAAAGAAGGTTTTGGCCTACTATACCACGCTGGCCAGAAGGGTTTGTATAGGGTTTGTTTCAAGATTTCAATCCCCAATCAAGGACTTTACAAACGTACATGAAACGGACACAAAGAACACCCAGACTCAGAACAACAATTTGTGAATCACACAAAGTGTCGTCCCATGTGGGGATCGAACCCATAGCACTCGGCGTAGTAGTGAGCGGCGTGGCGATCGCTTAAACCACTACGACATCCGTGCAGTCAAATAAGACAATCAAAACGGGTAAAATTTAATTTAAATATTAACTATTGCCTACGGCTTGCGTTATTATTTCTAATTTAATGTTTCTAACTTTGAGAACTGCCATACAACTATTCATCCCTTATTACCCCTTTAGGAGTAGAATGACCACCCACTGAGAAAGGATTTTTTGAAAAAATCCTTTCTCAGTGGGTGGTGGGTGCTTACAATATAAAAAGCATCAGGCTCCAGAAGTTGTAACCTTAGCGGTTTAGGTTATGCATTGATGAATTATTCAGTCAGGGTATGTAGGCGACGAAGGGGACGCGGCAGTGGTCGTTAGCTTCCCAATCGCCGCCTAAGGGTCGCTGCGGCCACATCTTGGGGCTATGTGGCCGCAACGACCCGAGACAGACGACACTCCGGTGCGGCCGGGGGGTGTTGTCCATGGCGGGGCGCTGTTGCGCCTCCTACTGTATAGAGCAGTGAAAGGCGCGGCAGCCTCCCGCCCTAGGGTGACTACAGTCACCCCGGGATGTGCCTCAGACATGGGGTACGGCAGGGAGGACTCCAGAAGCCGCCAATGCGTTCCTGGAGCTCCTCCTGACTGCCGAGGTAGGCCGACGCGGGGTTTAGTGGGTAAACCGGTTCTCCGGGAGTCCCACACACGCCCTGCGTTTCCCCAACGGAGGGTATGGTGCGAAAAGCATTCCCCGCGTTAAAAAAAAAATAAAAAGGGCAAGTAGTTTAATATGTATAGATTAGCTATTCAGGGTCACTGTAACAATGAGTAATTTTCTGGGTTTTGTGTCCAGAAGTCCATAGCGCCGAGTTGTGGAATAACGTTAGGCCAAATGCCAATACTAATTATATACGCCCTTGTCTTTGTCTACGAGTATTCTTTCCTGCCTCCTTATGTAACAGCGTGATGATATAATCTATGTGGGGACGGATTAAGAATACGGATCACCACCCTATTCATCCCGTGGGTGTTGTAAGAGCCGACAGGACTACGCAGGACACCAGCACTGCAAAGAGAAGGAAAACTTGTAACAAACCCTATACCAACCCGTCTGGCTAGAGTGGTATAGTAGGCCTAAACCTCCTTCCTAAAGGGAGGCCTATGTCCTTCAGTGGACTGTTAAAGGCTGCTGACGATGATGATGATGATATACACTAATTATTTATTATTATAATGCGTTTGTTTGTCATTTGTCATCTCAGGAACGACTGGTTCGAATCAAAAACGATTTTAGTGTTGCCAAGACCATTTACATCACGCTAATAGGGGCCGGACATGAATAAAATGTTTATTCCTTTTGAGAGACGTCGACTAATATTATAAAGAGGTAAGTTTGTGAGTTTGTATGTTCTGGGTAATCTCCGGTATTACTGATCCGATTTTGAAAATCTTTTACTATTAGAAATTTATATTATCCCAGAGTGCTATAGACTACTTTTTTTAGAATATATTTTTTCAATAATTAAACTCAATACAACATGTATTGAAGGCGGCAAAAAATATTCTACAGATAAACGGCCGTTCTTTTTAAAATGTAATATGTAAATTTATACTGCAGGATTTTACGTGCTTGAACAGTTTAGAAGTTACACAAACAAATAAAAAAAGTGTGTGTGTGTGCAATTCGCACATGGCAGAAGTGAAACCTCTGTTTTTTTTTTAATGTAAGAAATTCGACCCTATAAAACAGACATCATCACATCACATCAACAGCCTATAATAGTCCACTGCTGGACATAGGCCTCTCCTTAGAAAGGAGGTTTTGGCCTACTATACCACGCTGGCCAGACGGGTTGGTATAGGGTTTGTTTCAAGTTTTCCTTCTCTTTGCAGTGCTGTTGTCCTGCTTAGTTTGCTCCCTCAGTCGGCTCTTACGACACCCACGGGATGAATAGGTGTGGTGACATTCCGTATTCTTAATCCGTCAGCACACCACACCACAAACAGACAGAAACCCTATAAAATTTTGCTGTACCAATGTACAACTTGTCTGTATTCCAAAGTACAAGTGCGACTCAATAAAACGCAGCAGAAGCAAACATATGCGTCTCCGTAAACAGCAAAGGTCACTGTCTCGAGATCTCCTAAATATAGAGCGGTGTGAACACAACACTACGCGGGGACGCACTAGGGGATAGTGATGGGACGAGTCGATAAATTTTATCGATAATTTTGACGAAGTAACTTTATTTTAGATGTCTTTGTTAAGAGTCAGTTTTTGTTTTTTTTTAAATGTGATTGATGTGGAAAAAATATTAACAAAAAAAATCTTGAATAAATCCTATAAGTATATCTGAATTTTCAGAAGAGTTAGGCTCGTACATACATAGGTATAGGGGCAAGCAGATGCGTGTTAAAACCACATTATGCCGATTACGTGATCCAGCCTGTGATGACCAGTGCAA